AGCCCTGTCTAGAGGCCCCGTGAATAAGGGTGCACCTGCCGCAGCTGCGACACCCCTCCCCTCAGCCCCGGTGTCCTAGGCACCTCAGCTGCCTCCCCCGCTGCCGTTGTCAACGAAGTCGGAGAGGGTGAGGTCAGCGGGGTGCAGACTAAGAAAGTGGTCGCGGGCAGTGGCAAGACGGTCGGGGAGGCAGGTGGCAAGCAGGTAAAGGGTAGAGCAGATAGGGGGCTGGAACACACGAAGCTAGGCCTAAATGCAGGCAGTACGCCAGGCTCCGTCGAGCGTGCGCAGATGCTTGACTAGGTCAGCGAGTGAGGAAAGACGCGAGATCAGGGAAGAGCATAGGAAGGATCAGTCGGCCGACAGAGGCAGAGGACGGGGAGGAATAACGCGCGACAACAGCCTCTAGGAACTCCTGCGTAGTCCTGATTGACTTAAAGCGGGGGCGCTCTGATTGGGGGAGGGCATGGCTAATTGCGAGCTGAGCGACAACGTCACGCGATAGCCAGACAGTACGGGCAAGGGCAGCAGCAGCGGCGGACTCACGGTCAGCAGACGTGGGGTCAGCGGGGAGAGCAACAGGTGGGTCAGGGCTGGGGAGCGTACCGTCAATGTGGACGGCCAGGGAGTGGCTGTCTTGCCGCTGACTAGTAAGGTGGCGGCGGAGATTGACAAGCCATGAGTCGAACTCAATCGGCTGACCCTCCGCGTCAGAGCGCAGCACCGAGTCCGCCATGAAGGTCGCGATGATTGCAGTGGGAAGGCGTGCTGTACGGTATAGTGCGGTGGAGTGCGGTGCAATCGGTGCAGTGCGATGGAGTGTGGTGCAGTGCGGTGCAGTGCGGTGGAGCACGGTGCAGTGCGATACTTGGCGGTGCAGCACGGTGGGGCGCGGTGCAGGACGGTGGAGAGGGCAGGTGAAGCGGGCGGGGACCGGGAACCACGGCGGCTGGGCAGCTGGGAGACGGGGCAATGGGGAGGCTGGGCGACGGGGCCGCGGAGCAGCTGGGAGACGAGGTTGCGGGGCAGCTGGGCGACGGGGCCGCGGGACAGCTGGGCGACGGGGCCGCGGAGCAGCTGGGACGACGGGGCCGCGGGGCGGCTGGACGACGAGGCCGCGAGGCGGCTGGGCTACGGGGCCACGGGCCGGCTAAGCAACAGGGCGGCTAGGCGACGGGGCAGCTAGGCCACGGGGCAGCTAGGCGACGGGGCGGCAGGGCCACGGGCGGCTGGGGGCTAGATGACGGGGCCGTAGGGGCCTAGACGTTAGGTGACGGGGCCGTACGGGCCTAGACGTTAGGTGACGGGGCCGTAGGGGGCTAGACGTTAGGTGACGGGGCCGCGGGGCCAGCGGGGCGGCTAGGCGCTAGGTGACGGGGGCCGACGGGGCCACGGGCGGCTAGGAGCTAGGGGGCCGGGCCGCGGGGCCACAGGCGGCTAGGCGCTAGGGAACAGGGCCGTGGGGCCAGCAAGGCAACAGGGCAGCGGGGCCCGTGGGGCGGCTAGCAGGGCCCATGTTAGCAGGGTGATTTACCCTGTTTACTCTGAATTACAGGGTGGTTAAAGCACTTGGGTCGGATTTTTCAGAGTGTCTTATTTTTTAACCCTTACATTTTCAGAGTACACTTACGGATCACCCTTGAAATTCTAGAGTGCCTTTGCTCTCCGCCCTGTCTAGAAAGGGTGAGCCTAAAATTTCCCCAAACTAGCGACAGCTGTATTACAGCCCCCCTGGATAACCCCCTCCGACGGTACCCGATAGTTTTGATGTGGCATCGACTGCCGCAATGATGACTTCCACATGCACTTCTGCCCATACGGCGTACAACGAGGATTTCTTGCTGCAGCAATGATGGCATCACTGCGCGTCATGGAAGCCTAACATTGGTCACAGTTAGGACCAATGCTGCCAGCCTGCGAGTCGACAAGGGTACTGTACGGGTAAGGAAGCACCGCCAGCCATGCAACCAAACGACCACCAGCAGCCCTGCTCTTCCCCCAGTCGTGTTGTTGTGTCTTGTGCATCCCTCTCTTCCAAGATCAATTTGCTGTCATTTTCTTGTTCCCTCCCACGGTAGTTTCCCTGCGACTTCAAACCTCCTCTGTGGCTATGTCTGCTGCACATGGAAACACGGCGGACGGCGAGCCGACCGCCGATGAACCGCCCGATCAGTCGACTCCGCCGCGTAGCGGGCTGGATTTCTTACGAGCTGCTGTAGTCCGTAGGCAGCCTAGCGGCACCGTTGCGGTGCCACCACCGCCGCCTTCACGGCGAGATGACGATGCCGCGACGCGTACGCTGCCTACCGACTGGCCGATGGAGCCGACGTCGCTTGATGCCGACCTTGTTCCTCCGTCGACGGCTCCTCTGCCAGATGCTCCTCGGCCTGCCGTGAACAGCCCGTCACCCGCAGCTGTGCCGTTTCTCTTCACGTCAGCGCGAGCGGAGAATCGCGCGGGGACTTCGCGCAAGCAGCAGAAGTGGAAGCAAGTGCGACTTGCTTTCGCGCCTCATCCAACCCCAACCGAATTACAGTCCGACGGTGATTCTTGCATGGCTGAAGCTATGGCCGAAACGCTGGCCATAGAGTTTGATTACTCTGAGGCTCATAGGAGATTCACCAGTTCCTGGTCTGGCTTGTTTCCGTGGCTTGAGCTGTGTCGCGCTAACCATGGCCGTCCCACCCTCAGATGCACAGTGTGTCAAGAACACGGGATCGACGGGCAGAACACCAACTACGGTCAAGCAGGCGAGGGAGCGCGAGACCTCCAAGTCGGCAGCATGCGGATTCACCAGGGAACAATTACCCACCGAGACGCTGTCGCGACAAAGTTGGCGAAGGATAGCAAGGTGGCGCGGCAGACGAAGTTGGAAGAGTTCGAGGCACTGGACTTTGCAACTCTGCACCTGATCACCGCTCTCCAGACAGCGGTGTTCACATGCCGGTCAGAAGCACCGATGTCGATTTACGTCGACATCATCCGCTTCATGTCCGAGATGGGAACCCCGAACCTTCCCAAGGACCAGCGCAGCGCCTACTTCACCGAGTAACAGCTGTCTGGTTCTGCTCTGCGTGGGATTTGCTTTTGTGAGGTTCCTTGTGTTTCGCGATTTTATCGATGCATGGTTTTCTGGTCTGTTCGATGTCAAGCTAACGACCGTACCATGCCTTCTCTGTGCATTGTGAACCATGCTAGGTATGGCTTCGTCGAAATGGTCAAGTGCGTCAGCAAGTATTTGCGGGAACAACAACTTCTGCACATCTCGAAAAGTGACTACATCGGCATATCGATTGACGAGAGCACGGACCGGCGGCGGGGCAAGCACATGATCATCTACGTGACTTACATCAAGGACACAGTAGTCGTCACCGAATTTCTCGCGCTTCTGACAGTCGATAAGTGTGACGCCGCTTCTTTGCAGTCTGTGCTCGTTGCTCACCTGGAGGCCATCGGCATCGACTTGCAGAAAATTGTGGGCATCTTGACAGATGGCGCGTCCGTCATGATGGGTGAGCGACTAGGAGTGGTTTCCAGACTTTGAGCGCGGATTCCTCACCTCGTGTCCTCACAATGCATCGCGCATCGGTAAGCCGCGTGCCGGAAAGTGTATTTGTTACTGATATGGATATCGTTTGTGTGTGTTGTTTCTGCAAAGTTCAGATAAACGCCTTGCAAGTACCCTAACTAACCGTTCTCTACTGAATGTCTCTCCCTCCCTCCGCTTCCCCCCCGACAGAGAAGCGCTCGCCGCCAAGGACGCAGCGGCAGCGGTCGCCGAGTTCTCGATCATCGACACAATCATCCGCGCCCTCTCTGACATCCTTGGCCGCAGCTCTGTGTGGAAGAGCCGCTTTCGGACGCTGCAGGAGGCTCTCTGCTCTACCAATCTGGAGCTCCAGGGCATCTTCCATGTGCGCTGGCTCTCCCGTGGCGACGCGGTCATGCGTCTCGTCGATGTGCTTCCCGCCGCCATCGTGCTCTTGAAGGAGCACAAGCATCCACTCTACCAAGTGGTCATTAGTTTCAAGTTCAATTTTATGCTTGTGTTTCTTGCAGACGTGCTCAAAGAGTAGAATGACCTCAACAAGCTCTTCCAGCGCCGCCAGGTGAGGAATCCGTTCCGCACGCATCGTAGTGTTTGTATCGTGACTGCATGGTTCATGAGTGCCACATGTTGTGTTGTTCCTCTTAACTCCTTCCCCGAATTGCAGGTCGACATCACGATGGTCGCCGGCGAGGTCGAGACCACGTGTCTCGTCTTGACGTCGCGGTACATCGAGTACGGCGACGTATTCGGCAACGGCCAATCCCCGCGGCTGAAGAAGTTCCTGGAGGAGTACGGCGCGGGCAACTGTCGCGTTACCGTGGAGGGGGTGGATGAGAACGGCGACGCGGTGGTGCACACGTTCACCATGCATGAACGCGACCTCGACGAATTCCCAATAGGCAGCTCGATGGGGTCGTCCACCCAGGTATCTAGCGAGTATGCAGGCGCGCTGAAGACTTCCTCAAAGCGCGCATGGCCGACCTGTCCAAGCTCGACGGATCGAAGCTCTTCAAGCCAGACGTCTACCCAGAGGACCTGTTGCTCCGTGCCCGTCGACAGAAGGAGTGGTTGCACAAGATGGAAGCAATGTTCGATGGGAGGCTCCTAGGTATGTGGCCATTGATGGAGGACTTGGATGTTTCCCCTAAATCCTTTACTAATTCTCTTTCTGTATTTCTTCCTCCCCCCTCAACCCCACCCCCCCACCCTCCCCCCCTACAGGCGTTTCGGTGGTGGCATGTGAAATGGAGCTCCCGCTCTTCGTCCATGTGCTCAACAACGACCATGGCGGGCTCAACTTCTACAAGTCCCTGTCCAACATGCTCAAGACGGTCGACCGCATCGCCTCTGTTGGAAATATCTCAAAGAACTTAAGCGTTTCTGAAGTATAACACTACACTCGAGGAAGACTACAAGGGAGCACGCGAGTCAACGGAGGTTACACGAGGGGGCGGACAATGAATGCGAAAGGTCGCAACTGGAGGTTGCGACTGACCGTTACAGCATCATGGATGGTAACCGAAGCAGCAATCGAGTCGCTGTGCGACTCGATAAACCGTCCCTGTAACTGTACTCTACAACTGCTTTCTTATCTTCTATATATTGCTGTATGCTTGTTTCCTTAATCAATCACTTGTTCTCACATACTAGTACAAGGGTTCAACTGCCTCAACTTCCGCTGCACTACCCCAAGTCTCAAAGTCTCTACAGCTGGGACTTAGTCTCTGGAAAGATCCCAAGGGCTTTTCTCAGCCCAACATGGTATGAGAGCTGGTCAGAGACCAAACTCCCAGCAACTACGTTCTATCACCAACCTGCAACTCAACTCAATTCAACGACTTCATTGATTGCAAGACATGGACAGCAAGGGCAAGAAAGTCTCTACGGGCTCACCCAGCGGCCAAGAAACTCAACACGGCAACTCTGGTCTGCACACCTCAGGACTGCAGACAGAGACCGGGACTGCTCAAGAAACAACGGGAAGAGTACCAGAGATGGTTACTCCATCTCCCTCTTCAAGCGTGGACCCCAACCTTATGGAAAGGTTCTTCAGCTTCATGTCGCACTTCGACCAGCAGCAGCAGACAAGGACACCTGCGCATTCAACACAGAGCAATGGAGGAAACATGGGATTAGCGCCGATGAGCCTCGACAACTCATCCTTCGGGCGACACAACCAAGCGCCTACCTTTGCGCCGTATCATTCTTCACCGGGGACGTTCGAGTTCATGCCGCCCCGCGCCCAACCAACAGCAGCTGCATCACAACAAACACCAAACGAGATTCTCAGTCTTCAGGCTCAATTCTCACACGTTATTAAGTTACAAACATCCTCACCGTTCAACGGACACGACTTCTTTACCTGGAGCTTCGAGTTCGAGCTGCTGATGGAGGCCGCGCATCTTCTGGGATACTTCAACGGGTCCCTGCCATTTCCAAGCAACGGCACTGGAAAGGAGCAAGAGATCTTCACGTATCAGTCGCTGCTGGCGTATACAGTCCTCCTGCGGAACCTGTCACCACAAGAACAGCAGAGCATCAGAACATATCGGAGTTATGGGAACTCCGCGGAACTCGCATGGCATCATCTCAAGTGCCTTTATCAAGCAAACGACAGCGTGACGCAAAGCAGACTCATGCAACAACTGACAACAATTCAGATGAAGACCGGGGAAAAGGCAATGCAATGTATGAGTCGATGCCAGACTCTCCGCGACCGCCTGCTTCGGTGCGGAGGAACAATCACTGAAGAAAGCTTCGTGACACTTGTCCTCGCCGGGCTCGGGCCAGAATGGAGAACCACACGATCACTTCTTCGCGCCCACGGAAGAATTTCGGAGATGCACCTCTGCGCCGAGCTTCACGCTGAACAACAGGAGATGGACCTGTTCGAAGAAAGACAACCAAGGAAGCAGCAGCAGTTAGTCTTCTACACTCAACGAAGAAACGACAACACCTACAATCGACGCAGCAAGCAAGAGCGCGACAACAGAGGGACTACCTTTGTGCCGCCGTTCTGCCACAACTGTCAGACTTCCGGGCACTCCAAGGTCAACTGCAACCGCCCTCGCGTTTACCGTCCAGCAGACCCACAAGTTGCTTCAACCCAAGCAAGTCCCCCAAGACGCTCTTCAACATCTGCACAACAGACACCAAACATTATCAATTGCATGGTACACATCGACAACTGTGCACCCGGCTCACCACCCACTTACGCGCCAGACGAAGAAGAGCTCCCGCCACCACGCTCACAAGGACTTCAAGTCAATCCGACGTACGCTGCGGTCGCCAACGCCGAACCAACCGGATGAAACACCTGGTTCCTGGACAGCTGCTGCGGTCAACACATGTGCTCCTCGGGACGCTTCGTGCAACAGGAGAAACGGCTCAACCGCGACGTCGTCATCACCGTCGCCAACAACGAAAACCTGAAGACAAACAGACAAGGCGTGGTTCAGTTACAATCCATGGAGACAAACGTAATACTTCAGCTCAACAAAGTACTCATCGTCGACAACTTGGGATACAACCTACTAAGCGTAAGCCAACTAATGGCCAAGGGGATTCACCTGGAGTGCGACTCCTTCTCCAACGAGTTCCGGCTTTACCACGGGAAGGGCGGCCTCTTCATAGGTCGTGCCCTCCTGAAGTCCGGTGTCTTCGTGTTGGACTTTGTCCCCGACCGCGGTACTGCCGACAGCGACGGTATCGTATCGTTCGCCGCCTGGACACACCCGCCGGATCTTGATCCCGACTTCGACAGTGACGGCTTCTGGCACTCCAACACCATACCTGCAGCAGAAAGAACACGAGCATTAGCAGTTATCAGACAAGAACGGCAAGTACCAACAAGCGTCCAGTCCCAACCATCACCTGCAGTAGCAGCAGCAGGACCAAGCCGAGTACCACCACCGGCAGTCCGAGGACCGCCAACCGAAGCAGATCAACTTATGCCCATCACACGAGAAGTCTGTCGAAGTCCCGCCACAGTCGTCGCATTCTTCTCCAACGCCGACATATACCACCGCTCACCCGGCCATCGCGCTCCCGACGACATCTGGCACCAACGCCTCGGGCACCCTGCAAATAGTACAATACTACAAACCATCCAAGCCGAAGTGTTAGAACGCAACGCCCTCCTAACAACGAACGGCCAAGAACTTCGACGACCTCGCGCACGGTGCTTCACGTGCCCCGAAGCAGATCTTCCTCATCAACCCTTCCCATCACATCATAATCCAAGCGCGCCTGCATATGCAACGATGGAAAAAGTCTACAGCGACATCTTGAACATGCCTCGAGACGACACGGAAGCCGACTTCAACTACGTCATTACCTTCGTCGATGCAGCAACAAGATACACTTGGCATTACAACCTCAAGACGCGCGATCAAGCCTTCGACGCCTTCACAACATGGCTCCCCATCGCCGAACGGGAATCAGGAACCAAGCTAAAAAGTTTCCAGTCAGACGGCGCACTGGAATACCAGTCACAACGCTTCAGGACCTATCTGGCGGAAAGAGGAATCAGGCGCCTGGTGTCCCTACCATACGCTCACCAGCAGCAGGGGGTCGCAGAACGCATGAACCGGACCTTGCAGACGACAATGCGAAAGCTGCTCCTGGGAATGAAACTGCCCAACACACTGTGGCCAGACGCGATGACACATGCAGTCCACCTGCACAACCTGTTATCCTCGTCATCGCTCCCCAACAACGCATCACCACACCTGCTGTGGACGGGAAAAAGGGGCAGCACAAAATTACTTCGAGTTTTCGGCTGCATGGTACAATACAGACCCCACACAGCTCGAGCAGGACGCTTCACTCAACGAGCTCGGTGGGGACTACACCTCGGCATCGCCAAACATTTTCACGCGTGGAAGATTCTCGACATACAAGACAAAAATACGGTGGCATCACGTGATGTTATCTTCTACGAGCGACTGACGCTGCAGCATTACCTGGACAACATTGCCAACTCAGACGACCCCACCGACGGCTTCGCGGGCCTTCGCTCCTTCGCTGACCATGCCGCCGAAGCTGACGCAGCAGAAGAAGACGTACCTGAAGCCTCGGAAGCTGCCGGACCACTCCCATTCTGTTCCGTACCTGTTCCACTCGACGAAGAAAATCCTCTCGATAGCAACAACCTCGACACCTTTTACCACTTCGCTGACCAAGGTTACGTTACACCCCACCCAGTCGACACAAATGTTTCAGAACGCATCGGTCCCAACTTCTTACCTGACCCAGAAGACGGTGACGAAGCAGCTTATTCCGGGAATGAAAATTCCCCTCGACACACACCCACGGGACTGCAGATTCTAGGCCTCTGGGTCTCCGTCCAGCATCCGCCGCCGCCTTCTCCGCGAGAGCCTTCAACCTTGTCGCAGGCTCTGGGGGGGGAACATAAGGCGAAATGGAAGGAAGCGATGGAAAAGGAGTTAAAGGCTCTGCAAGACCGGAAAACATGGAAACTGGTACCTGCAACAAGCATCAACGGGAAGAACGTCCTCTCGGGGAAATGGGTGTACCGCATTAAGACCAACTCAGACGGCTCCATCGAACGATTCAAAGCTCGATGGGTCGTACGAGGCTTCGATCAACGATACGGGACCGACTACACAGAAACCTTCGCTCCAGTCTCCCGTCACACCTCATTACGCATCCTACTCGCCATCGCGGCCACGAAGACATTACCACTACGCCAAATCGACGTCGCGAATGCGTTCCTATACGCACCTGTGGACGCTGAGATCTTCGTCGAACAACCCCACGGATTCATCGACGACCCCACGAAAGTATGCCAACTGACAAAATCCCTTTACGGGATCAAGCAAGCCCCGCGGCTCTGGCAGCAGCATCTTCACGGCCGGCTCGTAAAAATTGGATTCCTACAGCTACCGCATGACCAAGGCATGTACCGACTGCAGCAGGGAAGAGAATACATCCTACTCATCGTCTATGTCGACGACCTACTCTACATCAGTTCTACCACCGACATCGCCACCTGGTTCGAAGGGGAGCTGAAAGGAGACCTGACGATCACGGTGTCCGACTCAGTGACCCAGTACTTGGGACTAAATGTCGTCGAAGACAACTCGGCGTTCTACCTACACGCTGGAAAGTACGCAGGCACTATCGCGAAGAAATTCGGACTGACGCCGACTACGGTCCCGACCCCCTACCACTACGGAAATAACAACAGCGCCCCCGCAAAACTCCCCGCGAAGCAAATCCAGGAGTATCAACAGAAGCTCGGCTGCCTACTATTCGCAGCAGTAACCTGCTGACCCAACCTGTCCTACAGTGCAAGTCAACTGGCGACGCATCTGAAGCAACCGGAACAGGAAGATCTCGAGGAGCTCAACCGGGCACTACTCTACTTCGTCTCCACGCCGACGATCGGGCTTACCTACAGCAAAGCAACAACACCGTCCGTACGACTACTCGGATATGTCGACGCCGACCACGCGGGAGATAAGGAAAATCGACGATCCAGGACGGGCTACATCTACCGACTAGAGCCCATCGGAACTATCTCCTGGCAGTCGAGCAAGCAGGAGTTAATCGCACTATCCTCGGCTGAAGCAGAGTATATCGCCCTTTGTACTGCGACCAAGGAAGGACTCTACCTACGGGAGTTACTCGAGGAAGCGAAGATCGCGACCCTACCCGCCTTCTCACTCCTCTGCGACAACCAATCCGCGATCAAAATCGCGAACAAGGATGGCTTCGCCAACCGAACCAAGCACATCGCCCTACGGTACTTCTTCGTCAAGGATGAAATCGCGAAGGGGAGACTTCAACTCAGTTACTGCCCGACGACAGAAATGGCCGCAGACTATTTGACGAAGAAATTGGCGAAGACAAAATTCGACCACTGCATGCTGCTGACCGGACAGACAAACGTCACCAGATCCGAACATAACAGCACTCCAGAAACGAAGGGGAGTGTTGGAAATATCTCAAAGAACTTAAGCGTTTCTGAAGTATAACACTACACTCGAGGAAGACTACAAGGGAGCACGCGAGTCAACGGAGGTTACACGAGGGGGCGGACAATGAATGCGAAAGGTCGCAACTGGAGGTTGCGACTGACCGTTACAGCATCATGGATGGTAACCGAAGCAGCAATCGAGTCGCTGTGCGACTCGATAAACCGTCCCTGTAACTGTACTCTACAACTGCTTTCTTATCTTCTATATATTGCTGTATGCTTGTTTCCTTAATCAATCACTTGTTCTCACATACTAGTACAAGGGTTCAACTGCCTCAACTTCCGCTGCACTACCCCAAGTCTCAAAGTCTCTACAGCTGGGACTTAGTCTCTGGAAAGATCCCAAGGGCTTTTCTCAGCCCAACAGCCTCCTACCCCAATCTCGTGAAGTTGTGGACGGCTGTCGCCGTCTTACCACTCAGCACTGTGGAGTGTGAGCGCGGCTTCAGCCTCCAGAACCTTATCAAGAGCTGGAACCGCAACTGCCTGGGGGATGCGCGCCTGGGGGACCTCATGACTGTCTTGCTGCTGAGGGATGAGATTGATTGGCTGGATGTGGTTGACCTATGGCATAACAAGCCCCGACGACATGCTAAGGACCTCACCCCCCTCCCCCCCCCAGTCTACTCTCGTGGTAGCTCTAGCAGCAACCCCAAGCCTGCAGATGATGCTTAAGTGTTCGCTAAGTCATGTGTTGTTGTTGGATGTTATGTTACTAATGATTTGGCTACATGCAAGGCAAAAACACTTAACACCCCGGGCCACAATAGAGGATAGAGTTTATGTTGTAATCACCCTGACAAGAAAGGGTGAATGTCCAAAACACCCTGTAAAAACTAGGGTAGGCTTTGTGTCGACCCTGATGCCCAAGGGTAGGGGGGGGCCTGGCCCTGACTAGAAAGGCTTCCCCAAACCTTAGCCAGAGCCCTGGCGGCTAGGAGCTAGGCGACGGGGTAGGCTAGGACCTAAGGCGGGAGTGCGGGTGGGCGGGGGGGACCTAACCTACTCATGATACCATCTCAGAGTTAGAAAGATTTAGTGAGAGTATTCAGGAGTATATAGCTAGAAGGTTGTACTCTCTATGGCAAGACCCTATGTAGTCTACTAAACATACACAAATATGTTTGACAGGTTTAACATGACTCACAAGCTGTTTCAGAGATGTTGGGGTGGTTAGGTGCTGAACCTAAACCTAATTTGATGGAGAAATGGTGGTGGCGTGGCGGTACGACGACCACAACCATGCGTGCTAGTCTTCTCCCTCGTCCATTGGCCTGTCGCCTCGGCGAGGACCGCCAGCCACCTTGGCCATGATGATCTGATGGCCACGTGGAGGGGGCAACGGGCAAGGCTCATGAAAGAGGAGAGTGTGCTTGGGGGCTTTCAAGGATGGAGGCAAATATCTCTTGGCCGCAGGACGACATCAACTGGTTTTAGCACCCGTGCATAAAAAGGAGCGTGTGTTGGGGAGGAGGTCAGGCAGGATGGCAGGGCACAGTGGTCTGTGGAGTGCAAAAGAGCCAAGAGAAATGCTCAAGCTCACAGTTTGAGGAGCAGCACACAAGGAATAAATGGAGGAGCGGCACTCACCTCAGTCCCACGGAGAAAATCCATGTGGAGTTTCGTGCTTCAATAAGTGACCCAACCTGTCATGATGCATTCTCGTGGCACTGGGGAGCAGAAAGACAGTCCGATGCACGCACCTGGTCCACTCGAAGAACCGTGGTCACCGCGTCAGCAGCAAAACGGATGGCCCAGTACCTGGAGGACGGGCGGATGGGAGCGGAGGGGGGGGGGGGGGGGGGACAAGAGCAAGCAGAAATGGAGTGAATGGCAGCAGTCAGAATGTGTCACATGGAACGGGAGAGGGAAAGCAGAGGGCTTCACAGACCACAGAGGCATGAAAACGGAGGAGCGCAGGGCCCCATTGGCACAGGATAAGACGAGCAATGCTGCAGGCATGAGCATGGCATTGCCAGAATGAGGAGGGGGGGGGGATAGGGGAAGGCGGGGGAAAGAGGGGCACAGGAGTTAGCTTCAGCAACAACAGGAGAATGTGTGGTGGGGAACATAAGGCCTTCCTGGCACAGGACAGGATAAGACCAGCAATGGTGAAGGGAACTAGCAGGGCATTGCCCGAATCAGGAAGGGGGACAGGGGGGGGGGGCGTGGGGAAGGAGAAGCTATAGGATCAGACGGAAAGCATGTAGTGTACAGGTGGTGAGACGCATAAGCCACTCACTTGGTGGCGTATAGGTCCCAGATATTGTCGGTAGTGAGGTCCCTCACACCCGCGCCCGTCACATCCACTCCCACACGGAAATTGCCGCCCGTGCCATCTGGCCCGCCGGAGTGGGCGGCGTAGAGAGCGGAGAGGATCTCAGTGACGTCCATCCCGGCATTCTCTGCCAGTGTGCGCGGGATCACCTCCAGAGCCTCGCTGTACTTCTCAATGGCATACTGATCCAGACTGATAAGCGGAGGGGTAGAGGGGGGAGGGGAGAGGGGAGAGGGGAGAGGAGAGAGGGGAGAGGGGAGAGGGGAGAGGGGAGAGGGGAGAGGGGAGAGGGGAGAGGGGAGAGGGGAAGAGAAAGCGAGCAGCAGACATGGAAGAGAGGATGTCAGTGAGGTCCGGCCTCCTGCTTTTCCTGCCGCGTGCGCGGAATGACCTCCAGCGCCTCGCTGCACTTCTCAATGGCATACTGATCCAGACTGAACAAGGGGACGGGGAAGGGAAGAGCAGACAGGGCGGAGAGGGTCTCCGTCAGATGCAGCCGCCTCAGTGGCCTACCAGCGAGCGCGGAATCACCTCCAGTGCCTCGCTGCACTTCTCTGTCGCGTACTGATCCAGACCAGAGTGAGGAGGGGAAGGGACGATGCAGAGGAACCCAAACAATCGGACCAGGTGTACCGACCACACCCCCACTCCCTTGCATGGCTTCACACTTCACTCTCCACTGCCCTCCATCACTCTCAACCCCCCCCCCCCCCACCCTTATCAATCTCAAACCCCCCCCCCCTCCCTTGTCACTCTCAGCCCCCCCCGGCCCTTGATTAATCTCACCCCCCCCCCTCTTCTTTATCACTCTCAACCCCCCCCCCCCTTTATCACTCTCCACCCCCCTCCTTGATCAATCTCAACCCCACCTTTACCGCTCTCAACCCCCCCTTTAATCGCTCTCAACACCCCCCCCCTCTCCTTTATCACTCTCAACCCGCCCTCCCTCGCTCTCACTGCCCCACTCACCCCACTTGTGTTCTCGCAAACTGCTTGAGGCGCCTGGCCAGCTCGATCTCAGTCGCACCTCCCCCAGGCAGCACCCGGCTGTCACGGCACAGGGCCTGGCAAGGAAGGAGCAACAGAAGCAGAGAATGCGGCAGAGGAGGTGGGGCAGTGAGATAGAGAGAAATCGATCTCAGTCGCACCTCCCCTAGGCAGCACCCGGCTGTCACGGCACAGAGGATGGAGTGCAATGCAGTGGAGCGCATTGGGGTGCGGTGCAGCACGGTGCAGTGAAGCAGTGACGCGGTGCAACCACGCAGGCAAGAGGAGCAGACAAGCACGAAGCTCACACAGATGAGCACACACCCCAGCAAAGAGCCCAAAACATGATATTTTTGGCCGGCATCTCCACGCCTATATGGTAATGCCACAGCGCGCACAGTGCCAGGCCACCATGCCATGCCATGACACCCCATGCCATGCCATGCCTATCACCTTGTACGTGTTGATGCCATCGTCCACCGCCCTCTCTACATCGTCCAGAATGCTGTCCGTGCTGCCCCTCAGCACCACCGTCGCCACCAGGTTGCCTCCTGACTCGTTTTCCACCACCACCACCTGGCAATGACAGCGAGTACAAAAGGGACGGCAGGGAGAAACAAGCGGCGGGGGGGAGGGGAGGAGGTGGGAGGGGAGGGGGTTGATGGGGGGGGGAAAGAAAATGGTCGGGATTCAATCCGAAAACAGTAGGCACACATCAGCACCAGCACCAGCACCAGCACCAGCACCAGAACCAGCACCAGCTGCAGCAGCAGCAGCAGCAGCAGCAGCAGCAGCAGCAGCAGCAGCAGCAGAGGCAGCACTCGCCCCTCCCAGCTATCCTTTCCAACTCCTGCACTTGGCACCAAAGCCCCCGACAATTCGATAAGCACACACCAGCAGCAGCTGCAGTAGCAACACTCACCGTCGTCCCTCCTATCTCCTGCACTCACCGTCGTCCCTCCTATCTCCTGCACTCACCGTCGTCCCTCCTATCTCCTGCACTCACCGTCGTCCCTCCTATCTCCTGCACGGAAACCGAGTCTGCAAAGCCCAGCTCGTCCGCTGTAGGCTTCTGCAGCTTCACCTGTGGCGGCATCGAAAGGGCGCCGAAAAGAGGCATGGGGTTGCGAGGAAACGCATGAGAGGACATCGGAGAGTAGAGGTAGTGAGAGTTGAGAAAGATGAGAAAGAAAAAGTTAGGAGGGTGTGAGACAGCAGGTCACAGGAGACAGAGAAGGTGGGTCTGGATGGGCTCAAAGCTGAACCGATAAAAACGAGTAGAGACTGAAATGACGTCATATATACAAGCATACAAGGCCAGCAGAGTTACTCATAGGTGGAGTCAGAAGTGTGAGAGAGATACTCACAAGGGAGACGGCACTGGTGGTGCGGCAGAACCGTCGAAGCTCAAACTTGGAAGAGATCTTTAGAACCATGAGCCTGGATGGTGGGGAAAGAAATGCAGAGAGAAGGATAGAAACACAAACTGAGGCGGCTCACCGGCAGACGTGGAAGAGATGTTGAGAAGCATAAGCCAGGATGGCATTGGGCAAGCACGAATGCACACATAACTTACACACAGAAGCGACCTCGCTCACTCATTCTCATGCTCGCTCGCTCACTCGCTCACCTACACTCTCACTCGCTCACCCACTCACTAACGCAACCACTGGTTCCCCTCCAAGGTCTCAACCGTCACTCTGCACAAGTCGTACAGGAGAAAAGGCCTCCCTTCCCCCACCCACTCCAACTCAGAGGTACCTCACGTTTTGAGACGTCTCACGCCTCTCTTCCCCCACTCAACTCAATGAGGTTCCGTAGAGGCACGGAATCACCCACCATCACCCACTCCCCACCTGCGGAGTCCATCTGACCATCGCCCTCACACCCCCTCACTCCCTACCTCACTCGCTCCCTCACTCCCTACCTCACTCAATCCATCACTCCCTCCCTCACTCTCCCCCCCCCTCACTTGTATCGCTCGCAGAAGTGCAGAGCCATCTCGCCCACCGTCTGCCCGCTCACCACCACCGTCGCCCCTGACTCCGCCACCTCCCGTATTGCCTGCTCCACACGCGCCTCCTCTGACTTGGCATAGTTCTCCAGCTGAGAGGGATGGGTGAGCCAGAAAGGAGAGCCAGCAGATGGGGCGGGAGGACATTTGTGGGGCTTTGCATTCACTCTGCCACCTCCCCTATTGCCTGCTCCACACATGACTCCCCCGACTTGGCATAGTTTCCAGCTGAAAACGAGGGGTGAGCCAGAAAGAAGGTCGGGGGAGCATTGGGGGGTTTTGAGTCGACTCCGCCACCCCCCATATCGCCTGCTCCACACATACCTCCTCCCATTCAGCATACTTCTCCAGTTACGAATGGGGGAAGTGACGAGGAATCAGGGCCGGGCGGGGGAGGGAGGAAGAGAGAGCAGGGGAGGGGCGGAGGGGAGGGGGGGTGGCGATAGAACTAAGAATGGAGGGGGGGAGGAGGGAAGGGATGGGCGAGAAGGAGGTGTGGAGACAGCTGGGACAGAGTGCCGGTCAGGTAGACTGCATTTGCCAGTCTGAAGCATGTATGAGCCACCCACGACTAGAAGGTCATGTGTGCGGCGTACACAGTGACTCCAGCCCCGCCCCCAATAGAGGGAGGGACGAATCCGAGGTGGCGCGTTGATATTGGCCCGACGAGAAAGGCAGGCTGAAACAGGGGCGAAGAGCCTTCAGTGCGCCGTCCAATCAGGCCCTCGATACGTGTCTGTAATCTCATCCCACATTCCCACATTCCCACATTCCCACATTCCCACATTCCCACATTCCCTCCCCTCCCCTTCCACTCCTCGCACACGTCCTCCCCCTCCTCCCCTCCCCTGATCAAAGTGTGCCTCTCCCTCTCTCGCCCTCTCACATGTGGATATCTCCCTCCGCCTCCCCTCTCAAGGCCATTCAGCGCACCTGCTCTGCATTTTCGATCAGCACAGTGCCCTTGGTCTCAGTGGCTTGCGTGTCGATTCCGGATCCAAACACCGCGATCTGCTCATGATACGTGGGAAGACACGTCAGCACGAAAGAGAGTCACATGCAAAGGGAAACACATGTTGCAAGGCGCCTCAAGGCATGCCTTCCCCAAACACTGCAACCTGCGCGCATCATATGTGAAGATACAAACACGCACACGTGTCTTGAGGAACCTCAAACACGTGTCTCGAGGAACCTCAAACACACTCCCCCAGACGGAGAAATCCGCTTGCAACCCGCACAAGCGCCACTATGCATGATCACATAACCATCCACACACACCTATCCATGCACATCCATGCGCATCCATGCCCATCCATGCACATCCATGCACATTCATGCACATCTCTCCATCCACATGCATGTGCCTGCCACGTGCACATGTGCGCTGCACAGCCTTTCTGTTGAGCTTGGGGTCTGCTGTCTTGGGGCACCTCATGACATCGCTCCAAAAGAAAGACCCTCAACCCTAAATCTGCACCACAGCCTGAAACCCTGAACCCTTAAAACCCGCGGCGCAAATTGCAAGGCGCGACCTTCAAACGCAGTGCGTTTGAAAGTCCCCCTTTCGTGGGGGTCTAGGGGTAACTTTACTCTCGTCGCTTCAGGGGTCACTTTCAAGTTGGGTGCGCAAAGCATTTTGGAACTTCGTGTGCACATCGTTTCATAGCCCTCCGATTTTCATCTAACGGCCAGGAATCCAAGCTTTCCATAAACTGCAAACCCCACCCAGCGAAATTCGTGTGGGCCGTCCGATCCGATGTTGGCAAAATCTGACGGACCAAATTCCAATTCAACATTCGCCACCTGTGTTTCGTTTCGCGAAAACAACGACCTCGCGAAAAGGTTCGTTAATTTTGCTACACCCACGACCCCAGTTCATACGCAGTGCGCGTGAACAACTTGGGCCACGGGCTTTACCACTAAACCATTAACCCTGAAACCCAAACCCTGCACACAAACCCTGACCGCTGAAGCCTGAACACTGCACTATGGACACTTATCTGGAACCCCCCTCCAAGTGTGTCTCGGCCCAAATCTCACTATCGCACAGCACAGCACAGCACAGCACACGCACCTTAGCTTTGGTGGTGTGCTTGATGGTGCCGGTGGCGTCTGTCTTGAGCACCATGCCGCGCACCACCTTGGACTCGTACAGCCCCCCTCCAAGTATCTTGGCCACTCGCACATTGTCCACGTTGAAGTTGTTGGGGTTGCTGGGACACACCTGCATGCACGCCTGTGGGTGATGATAGGGAGGGATATGGAGGGATAGGGAGAGATAGGGAGGGATACGAAGGGATAGGGAGAGATAGGGAGGGATACGGAGGGATAGGGAGAGATAGGGAGGGATACGGAGGGATACAGAGGGATACGGAGGGATAGGGAGGGATATGGAGGGATGGAGCGGGATAGGGAGGGTAGGTTGGACCTTGACCCAGGAACTCTAATGTTTTGGCTATGCGCACACTGTCCACGGGCACGCCTGCATGCACGCATGTGGGTGATGATAGGGAGAGATACAGAGGGATAGGAAGTGGTTCGTTGAGGGCTCAACCCAGAAAAGCTATGTCCTTGCACCAGGCGAGCGGTCCAAATTCGAGTTGTTACAGTTTGTGACGCACACCTGCATGCACGGCTGTAGGCTGTGCGCCGTATCGGGACAAGGGGGGTGGAGGAGGAGGAGGGTGGAGATGAGAATGCACGCTGCTTCACACCGTCCCAGTATCGCTGCGCCCTGGCAACTTGCACCTAGTCGACGATAAAGTAGTTGGGTTCGTGCGACGCACTTGCATGCACCTCATACTCCACCCACGTCAGCAATGAGAGGATACACGACTGGCTCGCTGCCAAGCTGCTTGCTGGCCACGGCCGCCACGAGCGTCTTCTCCACCTCCGCCTCGCTTGCCCTGACGCCCATGCAGAGTCGCTGTAGCACCCACATCAGGCGGCCTGCTCTCAAGACCTCGCACTTGCCGTAGAACTAACATCAGCGATGAGTGGGCAGCGCACACAGCACTCACAGCAGCGATGAGCGGGCAGCGCACACAGCACTCACATCAGCGATGAGCGGGCAGCGCACACAGCACTCACAGCAGCGATGAGCGGGCAGCGCACACAGCACTCACAGCAGCGATGAGCGGGCAGCCCACACAGCACTCACATCAGCGATGAGCGGGCAGCGCACACAGCACTCACATCAGCGATGAGCGGGCAGCGCACACAGCACTCACAGCAGCGATGAGCGGGCAGCGCACACAGCACTCACATCAGCGATGAGCGGGCAGCGCACACAGCACCCACATCAGCGATGAGCGGGCAGCGCACACAGCACTCACATCAGCGATGAGCGGGCACAAGACCGGCTCGCTGCCGAACTGCTTGCTGGCCACAGCCGCCACGAGCCGCTTTTCCACCTCCGTCTTGTCCCTCACGTCCACCTTGTCGCTGCCCTCCGCCACTAGCGTCTCGATTTCTTCCAGCACCTGCGGAGCATGGGGGACGAAGAGAATGCATGGGGGTCAGAAGGACGGAGGGATGGAGGTGGCGAGGATGCAATGGTCCAGCCAGCACTTCCGCCCTGTTCCTCGCGTCCACCCCGTCGCTGCTCCCTTTCTTCCAACACCTGCCGGTGCATCTCAAACCCCTCACTCTCGAACCCCTCACTCTCAAACCCCTCACTCTCAAACCCCTCACTCTCAAACCCCTCACTCTCGAACCCCTCACTCTCAAACCCCTCACTCTCAAACCCCTCACTCTCAAACCCCTCACTCTCAAACCCCTCACTCTCTAACCTTGTCAGTAGCCTTGGCGTATCCTGCAATGATCTCGCTCGGATGAAGCCCCGACCGAATGAGTTCCTCCGCCCCCGCCAGCAGCTCCCCCGCGAGCGAGACGACGGTGTTGGCGCCGTCGCCCACCTCCTCCTGCTGCGCCTTGGCCGCCAGCACCACCAGCTTCGCCGCGGGGTGCTGCACCTCCAGCTCCGCCACTATGGTCGCCGCGTCCGACGTCACGAACAGCTTGTCCAGGTGGTTGATGATCATCTTGTTCATGCCTGGAACCGGGGGGGTTCGGAAGGAGGGAGAGGGAGGGGGGAAGGGAGGAGAGGGGGGGAGAGGGGTCAAGCAGTGAGATGGGAGGCGGGGTGCTGCACCTTCAGCTCTGCCAGATAGTCGCGGCGTCGGAAGTGACGAGCAGCTTGTCCGGGTGGTTGATGATCGTCTTGTTCATGCCTGGGGGGAGGAGGAGGGTGGAGGGGATAGCCCCAGAGAAGGAGGTTAGAAATGCAGCGAGGAGGGAGAGGGCGAACGACAGTTGGGAGAGAATCTGACTATCTGCGACTAGCAGGCTCTGAATTTGGAGAATCCGTGCAAACTACAGGCGAATCTGTGCGAACTACAGGCGAATCCGTGCGAAGTAAAGGCGAATCTCTGCGAATGACTATCGCAATCAAACCCTTCAGCAAAACCCGAAACTTCCGAAGTCCAAGCCCAATTCAAGGAAATGCAAACCCCTGAGCATTGGCGGACGACGACGGAGAATCTGGAGCGAAGGGTTTAAGGGCAGGTCAGGAGGTCCTTCGCTCCGCCAACACGCACTCCTTCTGAAGCACTCTCCAGCCTTCGCTCCGCCAACACGCACTACTTCTGAAGCACTCTCCAGCCTTCGCTCCGCCAACACGCACTACTTCTGAAGCACTCTCCAGCCTTCGCTCGCACGCCCTAAACCAGCTACTCGGCCGACCTGTCGTTCCCAACCTCCTTGCAACGACGCATTGGTCCAATGAGGCTCTGACAGCTAGGACAGCGGCGCGTGTTCGTCGATCCCGAGGTGAACTGGCTGAGATGAAGCATCTCCCTGCCTCCAACGACTAAGCATCTCCGCGATCACCGCTTTCGGGAATCGACCTGTTTATAGCGCCAGCCGCTAAGCGACTCTGCAAGTTCAAATACCGTAACGCAAGTCCTCACAGCGGAGACCGACACCTCCTCCTCTCGCATCGTCGGCTTATCGTCGGCTCGAGGTCGTTGCATCCCCGTGACGGCACAGGGGTCTGCAGAATCAGATCCGCTTACACAATCTTCAGCCCGATCCTGCTTATGGTCGTGCCATTCTCCGTCGCATCGCCTCTAACGAACGAACGTATAGTCGATCACAAGGGTCTATAACGAACAGTCTAACGGGAATCGTCTACAACAAAATCATCCAAAACGATCAAGATCCTCCTCGCCGTTGGATCCCAGTGACATCCGCGTGATCTGCAACAGCTGCTAGGCTTAGAAACTCCACAGCATACAGAACATTTCACCATTCGCACATTTCCCTACAAGCACAATCACCACCAGCTCACCATTGGGTCCGAGCGACGTGCGCGTGATCTGCGAGAGCTGCTTGCACGCCTCGATGTTCTTCAGCACGGCCTCCTCCAGCCCCGTCAGGTGCTTGTGCCCCTCCTTCAGCAGCGACTGCAGCCCAAACCCCGACGCTAGCGCCATTCTGACCCGCGAATCTGGGGATTTGCGAATCTGAGCTTCTGTAGATTCGGTGAATTCGAGTTCCGAGATTCGAGAGACTGGCTTTCAAGAATAGATCAGATCCGGAGATCAAAGCCGCGGTTCGGACTACAACTGCGTGACTCCAGAGCAAGATGCGCAAGGAGAATCGGAACCGGCGAAACCAGACAGTGACTAGCCGCGCGTAGACGCTGGTGGATCTGTAGACTGGTGCCACCGACGTGAACGAGAAAGGCGTGGTTGACGAATTTACGATGTCTCTGGTCTTCGCCGTGTACTACTGCTTGGGAAGAGGGACTTGGAAAAGCAGATCTCACTGGCTGGCAGAGCTGCGAAAATGCTCCAGAACAGGGCTCTCGCTAAGGAACCGTTCTTGCGTCGTGTCATCCGCCAGTGTCATCCGAAATTTGCCTGTGAGCTAGGCTCGGCCGAACCTAGCTCACAGGCAAATTTTGGACATTCCGTTAGGTCACTGAATGGCATTCCGTTACCTATGGCATTCCGTTAGGTCACTGAATCGGCCCCAAAATTACCCCTTAGCCGACGGAATCGCCGAAAAATTACCCGTTAGCATACGGATTTGTCGAAGACAAATGGCCTTCACCACGGCTAAGAAAAGTCCTAGAACCCCCAGGAACTCTTTCTCGCACATACTATGTCTCAACCGATTTGGAAGAGACCGCTAACTAACCTCTCTCTTTGCTTAGCGGAGGAAGTTAGGGAAACTGTAAGGGAGGTTAGGAAGGGGTGATACACCACTACGAACCTACATTGCCCTTCGTACGGAAGCAAAGAAAAGTAGCCCATAATCTAAAGGAATCACACGAAAAGAAATCCTGTATGAAGATGGAATTAAGAAAACATTACTATGGAAAAAAATGGAATCAGGTCAGGAACAACTCTTAATTTATCGACATTAAGGGCAATTGCCCTTTTAGCAAGAGCTCTGTTCCAGAAAGATACTCGATAGGCTGTCACGCAAATGCGCACCTGATTTCTCATCGAGACTGTTTTGTATTTGCAGGGAGCTAGCACTATCACACAAAGGCAAAAACCACTAACAATGTAATCAAATGGCTATTGCACTTCCAAAATGTGCTTCTAGGCACTCTTTTCATGGTATGACTGGGATAGGCAGTACGTGTCAACCAATAATCAATTGACACGCAGCCGTATGGTCGTATATTCTACCAACTTTTGTCCTTCCATTAGGGAGCTGGGGAAGAGCCGCTTTCCTTGTCCATGCACTCCACTTCTTTCTCGCAATCCTTCTCGTCTCCTTCGTCTTCCTCCTCTCCCCCGCTTTCCTCCTCGATCTCCACCAGAGTCCCCTCCATGTCAAAAACCATCCGTCCAGACTTTGTACATTCAACAAACTCCCTCCCAGATGGTATACTCACTATAGAGCGATCCATCGCCCACATCGATGCAGACTCCCCTTCTTCTCGTATCGCCTTCCGCAATTGCGCCTCAAAATCCGCAGCTACACTATTCAACCCCTTGTCGCCCCATTTCCCTGAAAGCGCACTCAACCAAGACTTGTGCTTCGGCTTGGGAGGCCTGGCGGAAGGATCGGGGAAAGAAGACGAATCTACGCTCCCACCACTGCTGCTACTCGTCCTGCTGCTTCCAGAAGCTGACGAAGAATCACCCAAGCCTGCGTCCGAACCTAGCCCGCTTTCTCCCGAACCTACTTTTCCAATCCGAACAATCCTCCACCTCTTCCCCTTCCGCTTGTGCTTGCCCCCGTCCCCTTCCTCCCTCCTATCCTCCCCCCCAACCTCAGGGTCACAATCACCAGCTTGGCTCGACAGAGCGTGCAAAGACACGCTGCCACTGCCATCACTTCCCACCCCAGCATCCCCGGACGAGGAGGGGGCTGCTGCTGTGTTTGTACTCGTTGAGGGGGGCACTCCATTTTCACTGGTAGAAGCGGCGGAAGACTGGCTGTAGGGCGACGGCCTGAAGAGCCAGGGGCGTCGCGCCCCCGGCCTCTCGCCCCTGTCTCCCACGAAGCAGTAGAGCATGAGGAGGAGGGCGGAGAGGAGCAGCGAGAATCCCACGAGGACGCCGATGAAGAGGGGCGCGGAGAAGGCGGCGGAGGGGGGAGGGGAGGCGATGATTGGGTCCGTGGGGAGAGGGGGAGAGGTGGAAACGAAGGGATGAGCTGGAGGATACAGAAACGGCGTGTTGCTGCTGTTGCTGCTGCTTCCGTTAGAGACGAGGGGACCTGGTGGGGGATTCAGAGCAGGAGGTGGCTGGGTGCGACCCGGAGGAGGAGGAGAAGCAGGAGGACGACGAGAGGGCTGGTTAGGAGAGGAAGGAGACTGGTGGGGGGGAGAGGAAGGGAAGGGTGGCGGTGGTGATGGTGACGGGGTGAGAGGCGGAGGGAGAGGAGCGGAGGGGTCGCTCAGCTGCAGCAGTCCCCCGAGCCCGCCCTGAGAGGGAATGGGCGTTGCAAGCTCCCTGGGATCTGCTGGGAGGTCGATGTCGGACTTAGATGGGTCGGCTGGTAGAGCAATGGTAGACTCTGATGGTTCCCCCGGTCGGGTTTTGCTAGAGTTAGTTGGGGGTGTGGGTTTGGTGAAAGGGGGAGAGGGGTCAAGGGAAGGCTGAGAGGAGGAGGGGGCTGGATCAGGGAAAGGCTGAGACGAGGAGGAGGCAGGATCTGGGGAGGGTTGTATTGTAGGGAAGAGGGGGGAGAGATTGGACGGCTGGGTGGTCTGGGAGGGCATGGAGGAGGGAGACGGAAGGCGGCCCTACTTGCCTGCCCACTGGCCTCCAACTTCCCTTTCCTGGTCCCTTTCCGCTTCCACCTTTCCCGGTCCCTTTCCGCTTCCACCTTTCCCGGTCCCTTTCCGCTTCCGCCTTTCCCGGTCCCTTTCCGCTTCCGCCTTTCCCGGTCCCTTTCCGCTTCCGCCTTTCCCGGTCCCTTTCCGCTTCCACCTATCCCTTTTCACTTCCGCTTCTGCCTTCCGCCTGCCGCCTTCCGCCAATACCGCTGCTCCTAATGGCAGAGCCGCCACATCCCTAACGCATCGCCGTAGACGCGAGAGCAGGCCGCAGCGGAAGCTGCTGGTAGAAACATTCGAGATCTCCGCGCACTGCACTCCGCCCACTCCGCGCACTTAGGGGAAGCTGCTGATAGAACCGTTCAAGATCGAGTCGCATTGAGCGCATTACGCGAGAACTGCGAATCTCGTCATACGCACTCTTTCTTGACCCGGTGCCCCTGTTCGCATGAGTCTTCGCCCCCCTGGAACACCTGAACTGGTTGCACTCTCCTGCTCCCAAACAGCCCCTTCGGGTCTTCCACGTAAAACGAAGTTCCCCCCTCTTGAAACGACCCCCCCTTGGAGCGACTGAGTTTCAGCGTGCGCCGTGCAGCAGGAGACAGCCGCTGTCAGCAGCAATGCGGGCGCAGTGATCCCAGCGCGCTTTCCCTCTTCCCCAGGCCGACGTCGCTTCGCACCTTGCTTCCTTTCCGAGTGCCCGTCGGCACCTAGACTGGGTTACCCTATCGTGGGTGTGTGTTGCCCTCTCGAGACTTCTTGGCCTTTCTAGAACAGTGCTGATTTGATTCGGTCTAATCAGAATGAAGGGGAATGCCGCCAGAAGAAACCTTCAGAGGTGACACGTGGATTCTACATTAACGTTACAAGCACACATGTACCGCTAATACGCATGCGATCCTTATCAACGCGAACGCGAGTCGACTATCCAGTGAATAACGGTGAGAAGCAACGTCAACGAGGAAAACAGCTGTTCTAGCTGGCTATGCCTGCCATGCACCAATCGTCTACTAACTACACCTGCAGCAGAGGAGACCTACGCCACCTGCTCCCGAGTACGCGGCTGGGCGGAGCCCCACCGACTGCTGGTCTCAGTGGTCATTCCGCAACGAGTGGAGGCGGGGTGGGGGACGGAGGCGGAACTGGTAGGCGCCAAGGAAGGGAGCTCTCGTGGGCGAGCGGGGAAATTCCGCGGGGTGCTGCTTTGGCGCTGCTTTTGCGGGTGATGTGGTGCAAAGCAGCGCAGGTGGCGCTGCGCGACGCCTCTGCACTACCTGCGACATGAGAGGCCGTAACAAAAACTCATTTCAACATGTCTCTCTAATACGAAGACCACCCTTAGTGTGTTTCACTAGGAAATGGCATTTCCTTATCCCGGGTTTTAGCTTGTAAAGCGTACCCACATTGCCATAACAGAGTTGCCGCGCAGCTCTGCCACGAAAGTCAAACTGCTTCACCCAATTGTGGCCCTCTGACGAGCTGCTTGCATTTTGTTCGCATTACAGTTTTTATGCCTGAACATGCACGCCCCAGCTCGCCGTGACGCGGTGCCGCCATGCCGCTGTGCTGACGTACCGCCGTACTGCCGTGCCGCCGCGCCGCCATGTTGCTGTGCCGCCGTGCCGTCGTACCGCTGTGTCGCTATATCGTCGTCTCGCCGTGCCACCGTGCTATTGTAGTCGTGGTGATGGCGGACACGGTGCTTCGCCTGGACGCGGAGAGTCGGGCGGTTGATTTTGAGGCGTGGCTCGCCGACCTCCGCCGCCAGTTGAAGGGTCAACGCTAGGATGGCCAGTCCCTGGCCATCCACGTCGATGGTAAGCTCCCCTACCCCGACCCGCCTGCTGCCCTCTCTGACTCCCCCACGCTCGCGGAGCGTGAGGCCATTGCAGCTGCTCAGCTCGCTCGCTCTGTCAGGGAGTTGCGCGACGAAGTTGCTCAGCTTGCTATCAGTCACGCCCTCCTCCTGTCTGAGAATTCCCGCTTTCAGACCGTAGAGACTGCGCATGAGTATTTACATCCTATCATTATATGCTATTCCACTCCCTTCTCCACCTCTGCCAGCCGTTTCCTACTCCCCTTGCTCTTTCCTGATCTTGCGTCCTTCCCCACTGTCACTGATCTTGCCACCCACCTGCGTGCGCTTGAGACTAGCTACCGCGCTGCTAGCATTGAGGCCCAGCTCACTGTATTGCCTTGGGGACCTCCGCTGTCACAGGATCGAATGTGTCGAGGAGAGATTATACTATCGATTGATACAAGGCGTTTTTATACTTCCAGAGTACATCAGGTAACCAGGTTTATCCTATCGAATGGAATAGACCCTTTTAGAAATAGAATCACCCTGCGTATAGCCACGCGAGGCTATTGGCTTTTTAAGGGATTACGACAGGATTACGCTAGATATAGCGCGCCAGTACATCCCGAGCCTGGTCGGTGATATAATTATAATAGCCAGATAAACCAAATGATAATGGAAAATGGAGAATACGAAACCAAATGAGATGGGATAAAGAGAAATGAAAGAGAAAGGAAATAAGGAAAAGACCAAGTGGTGTAACAGGGTCGTACTCTCACACTTCCCCCCCTCAAATCTGGGTGGTAGAAGTAACACCCTGCTTTACAAGGTAGTCATGAAGAGGACGACGGGCGTTACCCATGTCGGTCTCAGGTACCCAACTGTCCTCAGAAGGATCATAACCCTTCCAACGAATAAGAAGCTCCACGGTGCCATTCAAAAGATGGCAGTGTGCAAGCACGGACTCGACCTCATACTCGGGTTCATTCTGGACGAGGACGGGCGGCGGCGGCGGCGGTTGGCGTCCGATGAAGATCGCGTTTGGATCCCGGTAGGGCTTCAGAAGTTGGACATGGAAGGCGTTGTGAATCTTCCAGGTAGCTGGCAGGCGTAAGCGGAAGGTAACAGGAGTGACCCGGGCTTCAACGAGGAAAGGCCCGCAGAAGCGAGGTCGGACTTTAGATGGGAGATGGCTGATGTCAAGGTTGCGGGTGTCGAGAAGCACCTGGTCTCCCACGGTGATGGTGTGGTCATTGCGATGGCGATCGGCCTGGCGCTTCTGTTGCTGTTGAATGTCGAGGAGGCGCTTGTGAGTCCAATCCCAAAGCTGATGCATGGTTGCGATGAAGTCGTGTGCAGGTTGGACTGTAGCTGATGCTGTCGGTTTTTTGTGGCGTGAGCGGGTGGCGTCCGTAGCAGAGGAAGAACGGCGTCTGTCCAGTAGCGGCATGCGTAGCATTGTTATAAGCAAACTCTAGAACGGGCACATGCAAGTCCCATTTAGAGATCTTGTCCTTGCAGGCTGCTCGAAGGAGCTGCTCAACAATCTGGTTAAGGCGCTTGGTGTGTTCGTTTGTCTGCGGATGGTAAGCGGATGACATGGCGAGTTTGTTCCCGAGCAGAGACATGAGTTCCTTCCAGAACTTGCTGGTGAACTTGGGGTTTCGGTCGGAGATGAGTGTGATTGGAATGCCATGCTGTGCTATTTCTTTGGTACGTGCTGTCGTGTGTGTTGGGATGAAGTGTCCCATTTTGGAGAATTTGTCGATGACGACAAGGATTGCGTCATGACCGCTGATGGTAGTTGGTAACACGGTGATAAAATCCAGGCTGACCACTTGCCATGGTTGTTCTAGGATTGGAAGAGGCTGCAGTAGTCCCGCCTTCTTCTGCTTGCTGCTCTTCATCCGTTGACATGTATCATACGAGGTAACGAATTTTTGAACATCTTCTGCCAAGTGGGGCCAGTAGTAGTGCTTCGCGATACCGGTCAGCGTTTTGTTGCTACCGAAGTGTTCTGCGTAGAGGACGTCGTGGTATTCTTCGTGTAGTAACTGGCGCAAAGGAGGGTAATTGGGTTCCCAGATTTTTGTTGATCCTTTCTGGTACGCGATGTCACTGTCTCACTGTAGCAGGTGTCGCTTTTCTGCCAATGGAATTTTGGGGTTGATGGTGTACCCGTGTGTGAAGAGTCCCTTGAGTAGTGGATTCATCCCTTTGATCTGGATGGCGGCAACGTGTGCAGGCTGGCTAAGGGTGTCTGCTTTGTTTTTGTGGCCGGGCTTGTACACGATGTCGTAGTGGAAGTGTGTTTTGAGGAAATCAATCCACCGGACCTGCCGCCTGGAGAGGTTGGGTTGTGTCTTCAAATATTTCAGGCTGCAGTGGTCGGTGTAGACGGTTGTTTTTCGTCCTTCGAGATAACATCTCCATGCTTTGAAGGTGATGACGATAGCAAGGGCCTCTTTGTCGTGTATCAGGTAGTTTAGTTCTGCCCCGTGTAGTTTCTTCCTGAGGTAGGCAATTGGTTGCAGTCCATTCCCCTGGTCTTGCATCAAGACTGCTCCCACTGCCTGGTCACTGGCGTCAGCTTCGATGACATAGTCGCGTTCGGGATCTGGCAAGATGAACTTTGGTGCGGACATGAGTGTTTTTTTCAGCTGCTCCACAGCTTCCTAGTGCTTCGACTCCCATTTATTGGGTGTGTTCTACTTCACCAGATTCGTGAGTGGTGCTGCAAGTTTCGCGTACTGTTGCACGAACCTGTTGTAATAATTAGCGAAGCCTAGGAACTGCTGCAACTCCTTCACGTTCTCGGTTGTCTTCCACGAACGTACGGCTTTGATTTTCTTGGGGTCAACGTGAACTTCTTGAGCGCTCACCATGTGTCCTAGGAATTGGACCTTCTCAAGGGCGAATTCGCTCTTAGACAATTTGACGTAGAACCGTTCCCGCCGAAGAATGTCGAAGACGCGTCGCAGGTGTTTGACGTGCTGCTTCATGTCGCGCGAGTAGATGAGGATGTCGTCCAGGTACACCACCATGCGCTCGTCCAAAAGTGGGCGTAGAATGTGGTTCATTTCGGCTTGGAATGTTGCCGGTGCATTGGTGAGTCTAAACGGCATTACTAGATACTCGTATGATCCGTACCAAGTTCAGAAGGCAGCTTTGTGGATGGAGTTGTCTGCCATTCGTATCTGCCAGTATCCGGACCGCAGATCCAGTTTGGAAAATACCGTAGCTCCTCAAAGCTGGTCAAGCAGGTCATGGATTCGTGGTATTGGGTATTCGTTCTTGATGGTCTGCTTGTTGAGAGCTCGGTAATCGATGCACATGCGCAGGCTTCCGTCCGGTTTCGGTGTGAGGAGAACTAGGGCACCGTATGGCGAAGTAGATGGTCGGATGAGTCCTTTGGCAAGGAGATACTCGATCTGTTTTTTCATGTCAGTCAACTCAGTGGGACTGAGCCGATACGGTGCTCAGAAGGTCGGCTTCGAACCTGGTTCCTCCACTATCTCGTGTTGATGCATCCGGAGGAGGAGTTCGGGGTCTTTGCATCTTCTTGTAGACCCCCAGCTTCCTCTTGAGCTGCTTCAGCTCCACCGACGTCTTCCCTGGGGAACGTGTAGTCGTTGTGGGCTGGTGTCGGGAGAGGACGTTGACTCCGTAGAAAGGCCGGCTTCTTTCCACACTCCTTAATTTTTTCCCCAAGTTGTCCGGTACCGGTATGATCTCCATATTTTCCTACTTCTTCTGGAGTCCCTCCCGAAATTTCTCCGAGGCTCTAGCTCCTCGAGAATCATAAGTTTTCATTAAAGCATCTTTACAAGAACTTTAACAAATCCTTATAATTTCTTGGGTCTTCTCGGAGTTTCCCCGTCTAGGCAGAGTCTTCTTTCGCGGAGTCGGATTTTTTCTCAGCGATTTTCTCTGGCAAAGATTGGTCATGGGGTGGAGATTTTCCCCCATCATTTCCTCTTGCTCGCGTCGAATCAGCTTCATCGAAGTTGATTTTCCCGGAATCCCGCGGCCGCTTTCGGATCTTTCCCTTTTCACCAGCTAGATCCGCAATCACTGGCGACTCCCGTTTTTGTCTTTTGATTGGCCGAAGAATTTCCACCACTGTTGCGTACCCGATACTCTGCTCGTGCGTCTTCCATTTTGTTGCAGTCAAAGATTCGATGGCTCGGCACCCCACAAAAATCACACGTGTAGTTGGTGTTTTTCGGACGTGGCCGCCTGTCGAACCTGTCGATTTCC